TGGGCGCGCGGCTGGGCGTCATGCCGCCCGTGCTGTCCCCCGGCCCCGCCGTCTACTACCAGAAGGACACAGATGTCTACAAGACGAGGTACCAACATTAGTTGACATTAGTTGTTGGCATAGATACTGTGAATGTGTGGGTAATGAAGATGTACAAGTACGGCTTAAAAATAATTACTCTTTTTGATGCTGCTGGAATTGTTTCGTAACACAGTCTAAGACAGAATTTGAAATTCGTTTCGATTTATCCCGGAGTTTAATAATTTTTCCAATGGTAATATTCAGACCGCCGTGCTACTCGCTGGGCGCGCGGCTGGCGGGCGCGGGCAAGGCGTCGCGCACACCGGGTCCTGCGGCCTACCCTCCCAATCTTTATAATACTAAAAAGGTATGTATTTATTTATCAGCTATCAGCTATATCACCAATATGTATGCCTTTACAGAATTAAGAGTGGCGCTGCTATTACAGTTAGTTTTGTCAAAAAATATGTAATGCCCAGTTTACACTAGGCTGTACAGCTGGACAATTGCAACGGCCAGTTTAAATTGTATAGACTGGCGCCATTTTGTATTCACACTATGCCAGTTGATTGCCAGTCCAGTAATTGAGCGCTAACAATTGTACTGGCTAAGTGTAAATCGGACTTTAAGACAGCTTCAGTCCGTTCCGATCTTTCGTTTTTTATGACATTAACGAAACGCGTTGTTAATGTCATCCATTCGGTTTGATAAATATTTAGAATTAATGAAGATTATCTGTTTTCATTTTCAGAATCCCTACTCATATTCATTTGGTACGAAACACAACCAATATGCTTGTCCAATGATAATAAGGGAAGACACTATGGACTGTCTTTAAATATTTTCCGGCCAATAAAGACACATAAGGTCTACAGTGATACTGTTTAAATCGTTGAGGTAATAAAAAAAATTGGCATTCGTATGTAATAAATAAACATAGAATATACAAGCGAATGACATTTTGTCGTAAGTTTTTCCCAAAAAAAATTGTAGGTAAAATGTCAAAAATGTAAAAAGACAGTGGCATTGTAACGCCTTAGCAACGAGTCTTTTTGGCAAGTGGCAACATTAGACAGCAACTTTTGTAGTGAAAAAAAAAATAAAAATGTGAAGTCCTGTGACGTAGCGTGCGGTCATAGCTTAAACTGAGGTTATTCTCAAATTGTTTGATATTCGTATTGTTTTTTGTGGACGTTTTATTAAATGAAACTTATTATATTCGTGTTTTTTATTTTTATTACTAATTCTCCTAAATCTATTAACACATAAATAACTAACACCAAGCACCATTTTATATTAAAGTTATTTGTTTATAATTAATATTGCTGATAAGTGAAACTGAAACAATGTTTCATATTGAATGACCCAATTGGATTGTTTACCCAATAGGCAATACGCATATGACGCCAAATTGTACCAAACTTTTTTTAAGTGTACTTTATTACTATAAAAACAGTCCTGCAAAGATTTTTTTAAATGTAATGTGATTTAGTGGCAAAATTTAATCATTAAAAAGTGTCTTTTTTCCCTCGCTAAGTTCTAAAACGCACACTATTGGTCGAAGTAAGTGGCTTATCTAATATGGTGTCGCTGTGTTGACAATACACAGTTCATTTACGTTAGATTATATAGAAATACACTCTTGAAGTATTTTACTGTAAACACGATATGAAAACCAACTTTAAAATAAAAAATTAATGAATAGAACTATTTATTACCACTTATTTGTACCAGGAATAATAAAAATGAATCGATTTTTGTCTTTTTGACCTTGAGAGACTGTTGTGTTTTACGTCCAAGTGACATCTGAGCGTATGTTATGAATGGAATAGACGATTGACGTCAATCGTCTCATGACAACTCCGGTCGCGTTTTAGTCGCTCGAAAATGGTCGTAATTTTATTTTATTATTTTTAGCTCAATGGTTGAATATTTTCGCGTCAAATTTTTTTTGTGGTTATTTTATAACAAGTAGAATTGTTTAAAAAAAGAAAAAAATACATGCAAATCCCCTATTCTGAAAGTGTGTGCACACTTTTTTAGATTGGATGAAATTGCTCTATATAAAATGGTATTTGGTACATATTAAAATTATGACAAGTTAAAATTTCCTCATAGATTTTAATCTATTGTTCCTGCGCATGCCGGCAGCTCGCACCCTCTTCCAGTACTCCTTTGTGTTGGGGTCCAGTTCCTCCAGCTTCTTAGGAGTCCAGTTCAAGTTCCACAGCCAATCGGGATACTCACTGTCATCTTTTAACTAGAATAGTATTAAAAATTGTTTTTTTCGTTACTAATTTCAATTTTAAATGTAGAAAAGATGATTGGCATTAGTATATTATTAGTATGTTGATGAATGTAGTTACAGAATCATGTAAATTACTTAAAATGTAATAAAAACCTTGACACTTATAATGAAAGGGTGGGAGCTTCAAAGTAATGATTAACTGCGGCAATGACTAATTGTATTAAAGAAACTCTGTGATTAGAATTACTTATGTATTATTGACTCTGAGAGACTCTGAGTAAGTTTTGAATTATAAATCTTACTTTAACATCTTCTCCAGTTATGTAAATGTTGGAGCCGCACACCTGGCTCACCAACTTCTCAGGGTCTGTTTCCACTGGCAATTCTTTTTTTTCCACAGCACCGAGTTTGCCAACCTTCTTCTTACCCTTGCCAAGACCCAGTACACCTGAAATTTAATAACACAATGATTTTATTATTATAAGTATACCAATAAATATTTAACATACAAATTTGCGAATTTACGTGTGAAATTATTTACTGAAGTTTTACAATGTATGTTGATTAAATACCTCCAGCCGCTGAGGTAGTTTTCTTAACAACAGCACAATTTATTGCGCTAGTGTGTAGATTTGCAGAATTCGTATACACAATTGAAGGTAATAACGCAACATTACAGTTTAGTTTTGTTAAAATAGGATAAACATTTCGTAGTAATAACATCGTTTTATATTATTCCTAATACAACAGGTATTGTTTTTATTTTATAAAATTTAGTTAAAGTTGCGAATTATTGTTATTTCTAGGTTATATTTACGGTTACGGTTTGGTTTGGAAACTTCAACTGTCAAGTGTTCTAAGACCGGTGTTTCTATGTTTTAAAATACAAGTTTTTTTATATTTACGAAAATAGTACTTTTGAGGTACTCTCAAGGTAAAAAACGTTTTGTTTGCAATGTTTCATGTTTTTCTCTTAAAACACCATTTAATGTATTAAAAATCTCAATTAAATTATCCTCGTAAAACGGAATTTACAGCGAGGCGTTGGCAGCACTGTAAGAACCGTCACTGTCAACTGTCAGTCACAAGACAATAAATATCCTTTCCTTTCATTTCAATAAACTTTATATTGCTATCAGTAGGAAGTGCTTTCGAAATTACTTTGATTCCCTTGTACGGTCGATTTCAGACATATTGTGCAACAATTGTTTACACGCCTACATCTTTGGAATCAGGTGACAGGTTCACTTTGATCTCCAAAATTTAAATAGATTTCCTCTTGTTGTTTGGGATTACCCGACACTGGTTTATTAGTCATCGTTAAAACATAGTTCATCAGGCAACAGGCAACATGACGACAGTATTGTGTACGCGTACGTTGGGATAACATGGGAATTCACGTGTATTCTATTTCAAAGGATGAATACGAATACGACGATATAGAGGTAAGTAAGAAAACGGTCAACATTCTAATTCTATATATACAATATATACTTACGTTTAATATATAGCTTTTACCTGCATTTCCGAATGGTCGTAATTAAAATAAAAATATGTAGTCTTTATGTTTAGATGTCCTACATCTGTGTAAAATTTCATATCTGTAGAGCTTCTGAGATATAGTAGCAATCATCCATCTTAACTTTTGCTTTTATAATATTAGTATAAAAGTTATCTGAGATTACAATACTATCTCTGTTGTACAAATTCAATTATTTTGACCTTGTTGCAGTTATGCATGTTTCTTAGGAAAACTGTTGAGGTAATTTAATCCCTTTATGATAAGTACATGAATAAATATTGATACAGTTTATTTACTCTGTACATTTTATCTCTTAACTTACCCATTATTATAATATCTATGTAATATTTGATAGATTTGTGTAAAAAATTAGCTGCCTGTTTTTTAAAACTTAGTGACTAAAATAATTGACTTGTTCATGAGAGTTTTTGGGGTTACTATTATAATTTCTGGTCTCTGTGTTATTTAGTGTAGTTTTAATAGATATCTTGAATTTAGTCATTTTAGACACAAAAAACATGGCAATTTTGATTATTTTTAACATTATTGTAAGTGTCTAATAGAGGTAAGTAACATAAAAAAATGGCATCAGGTACAACAATGTACAAAAATGTAGAAAAAGTTGACATCATTTAAAATTAGGCATTTGCATGTGTCTATTTATTTGCTATAAATAGTAACATATAGAGGAAAGATATGTATCATTGTAAATGAATCATCTCCCTTACCTTATCCTACTCCTGTAGGGTCGGCACGATGGGTTTTTGTCCTCCAAATAACTATCATCTATCTTCTCAGTCATCACTCTCTTCTTGATCATGTCACCTTTCATGCAATCCATCTCTTTCTATGCCTACCTCTACAGGTGTACTACACTTATATGTCATGTTCTTCTTGGTACATGCAATTCATCTCTCCTTCTAACATGTTTATACCATGCTGTTTACTCCTTACCTTCTCTACCACTGGGGCTACTCTCAAACTTGCTTATATGGTATCTTATATTCATTCATGTTGCCACACATCCATCTTAACATTCTCATTTCTGTGACATATAATCTCCTTTCATCTGTCCCTATACTGCCCAACATTCAGATCTACACATGACAGGTTGTATCACAAGATTTTTAATAAATAAACACTTAGAACAACTATTTTATTAGGTAGTTAGATTATCATTCATATTGGCTGCATTTATTAGTTACTTTTTAATTCTAGATGATAAAGGGTTTTTTAATTACAGGAAGAATACGAAGGTTATAAAATGTCTGTGACAATTGGTACGATTGTGGCTGTGGGCGTGGTTGTAATCTGCATTATTTTATGCTGCTGCTGCCGCCGTCGCCGCGAACGCGGGCAAGTGCTCTCTCGTGAGTATCTTTGTTCTTGTATAGCACATCATCATTGAAGTTATGACATCACGTAAGACGCTTTTTGACTATTTTTAATGCCATTGGCTAGAGAATCGGAAGACGCATCTTTTCTGCCTATCACAAACACGTAATCTACTTTTTTATATAAAAATATTATTAGATTTTTGTTAATTTACTAACATTGCTTTTAACCATTCTAGGTTCTAGACTTGTGCTAGAATATGGTTCACAACAGTCGAATGGTGGGATTCGAATCCTCGACCGCAAGATCGGTAGTCCGTAACCTATAACTATTAGGCTTTTGGCGCTTATAACAGAACCATAATTAAACACAAACACTGTTTTACTATAGTATATTTACAAATTATACAGTTTTCTCTCTACTGAAAAGTTGCTATTTTAAAACTTAAACAACGACATGCTAAGTCGAGCTATCGTGTTATTATGTGGGAGGTTGATATTGTGATGCGATCTGTGAAGTAGGGAATGTATATGCAAATATTTTATAGCGGCGCCTGCGCCCGCGCCCGCGCCGCCCGGCCCCGCGCCCTACCCGCAGCAGGAGTACACGCCATATCCAGGTATTGCAATAAATGATATGTGCA